CATCTTCCTTATCCATTTGTCCGTTGAAGGGCATCTTGGTTCTTTCCACAGTTTGGCAACCATGGCCATTGCTGCTATAAACATTGGGGTACAGATGGCCCTACTTTTCACTACACCTGTATCTTTGGGGTAAATACCAAGTAGCACAATTGCAGGGTCATAGGGAAGCTCTATTTTTAATTTCTTTTTTTAATTGTCTATTTTTAATTTCTTAAGGAATCTCCACACTGTTTTCCAAAGAGGCTGCACCAACTTACATTCCCACCAATAGTGTAAGAGGGTTTCCCTTTCTCCACATCCTCTCCAACACACGTCGTTTCCTGTCTTGCTAATTTTGGCCATTCTAACTGGTGTAAGAATGTGGTTTTAATTTGAATCTCCCTGATGGCTAGTGATGATGAACATTTTTTCATGTGTCTGATAGCCATTTGTGTGTCTTCAATGGAGAAGTGTCTGTTCATGTCTTCTGCCCATTTTTTGATATGATTATCTGTTTTGTGTGTGTTGAGTTTCAGGTGTTCTTTCTAGATCCTGGATATCAACCTTTGTCTGTACTGTCATTTGCAAGTATTTTCTCCCATTCCGTGGGTTGCCTCTTTGTTTTTCCTGACTGTTTCCTTTGCTGTGCAGAAGCTTTTGATCTTGATGAAGTCCCAAAAGTTCATTTTCGCTTTTGTTTCCTTTGCCTTTGGAGACATATCTTGAAAGAAGTTGCTGTGGCTGATATTGAAGAGGTTACTGCCTATGTTCTCCTCTGGGATTCTGATGGATTCCTGTCTCACATTGAGGTCTTTTATCCATTTTGAGTTTATCTTTGTGTACGGTGTAAGAGAAAGGTCGAGTTTCATTCTTCTACATATAGCTGTCCAATTTTCCTAGCACCATTTATTGAAGAGACTGTCTTTTTTCCACTGTATATTTTTTCCTGTTTTGTCGAAGATTATTTGACCATAGAGTTGAGGGTCCATATCTGGGCTCTCTAATCTGTTCCATTGGTCTATGTGTCTGTTTTTATGTTAGTACCATGCTGTCTTGGTGATCACAGCTTTGTAGTAAAGCTTGAAATCAGGTAACGTGATGCCCCCAGTTTTATTTTTGTTTTTCAACATTTCCTTAGCAATTCGGGGTCTCTTCAGGTTCCATACAAATTTTAGGATTATTTGCTCCAGCTCTTTGAAAAATACCGGTGGAATTTTGATCGGAATGACATTAAAAGTATAGATTGCTCTAGGCAGTATAGACATTTTAACAATGTTTATTCTTCCAATCCAAAAGCATGGAATGGTCTTCCATCTTTTTGTGTCTTCTTCAATTTCTTTCGTGAGTGTTCTGTAGTTCCTCGAGTACAGATCCTTTACCTCTTTGGTTAGGTTTATTCCCAGGTATCTTATGGTTCTTGGTGCTATAGTAAATGGAATCGATTCTCTAATTTCCCTTTCTGTATTTTCATTGTTAGTGTATAAGAAAGCCACTGATTTCTGTACATTGACTTTGTATCCTGCCACGTTGCTGAATTGCTGTATGAGTTCTAGTAGTTTGGGGGTGGAGTCTTTTGGGTTTTCCACATAAAGAATCATGTCATCTGCGAAGAGAGAGAGTTTGACTTCTTCATTGCCAATTTGGATACCTTTTATTTCTCTTTGTTGTCTGATTGCTGTTGCTAGGACTTCTAATACTATGTTGAACAAGAGTGGTGAGAGTGGGCGTCCTTGTCATGTTCCTGATCTCAACGGAAAGACTGTGAGCTTTTTCCCATTGAGGATGATATTTGCTGTGGGTATTTCATATTAGATTTTATGAAATCCAGGAATGTTCCCTCTATCCCTATACTTTGAAGTGTTTTAATTAGGAGCGGATGCTGGATTTTGTCAAATGCTTTTTCTGCATCAATTGAGAGGACCATGTGGTTCTTCTCTCTTTTCTTATTAATTTGTTCTATCACATTGATTGATTTGCAAATGTTGAACCACCCTTGCATCCCATGGATAAATCCCACCTGGTCATGGTGGATAATCTTTTTAATGTGCTGTTGGATCCTATTTGCTAGGATCTTGTTGAGAATCTTAGCATCCATATTCATCAGTGATATTGGTCTGAAATCCTCCTTTGTGGTGAGGTCTTTGCCTGGTTTGGGGATCAGGGTAATGCTGGCTTCATAAAAAGAGTCTGGAAGTTTTCCTTCTGCTTCAATTTTTGGAAACAGCTTCAGGAGAATAGGTGTTATTTCTTCTTTGAAACTGAGGTAGACTTCCCCAAAGAATCCATCAGGACCTGGGCGCTTGTTTTATGGGAGGCTTTTGATCACTGCTTCAATCTTGTTACTAGATATCAGTCTATTCAGGTTGTCAATTTCTTCCTTGTTCAATTTTGGGAGTTTATAGTTTTCCAGGAATGCATCCATTTCATCTAGGTTACTTAACTTATTGGCATATAACTGTTGATAATAACTTTTGATGATTGTTTATACTTCCTTGGTGTTAGTTGTGATCTCTCCCTTTTCATTCATAATTTTATTAATTTGAGACTTCTCTCTTTTCTTTTGTATTAGTGTGGCCTATGGTTTATCGATGTTAGTGATTCTTTCAAAAAACCAGCTTCTAGTTTCATTGATACGTCCTACTGTATCTCTAGTTTCTATCTCATTGATCTCTGCTCTAATCTTGATTATTTCCCTTCTTGTGTGTGGAGTTGGTTTGACTTGTTGTTTATTCTCCAGTTTTTTAAGGTGTAGAGGCAGCTGGTGTATTCTGGATTTTTCAATTTTTTTGAGGGAGGCTTGGAAGGCGATGTATTTCCCACCTAGGACCGCATTTGCTGTATCCCATAGGTTTGGAACAAAGTGTCTTCATTCTCATTGGTTTCCATGAATTATTTCAGTTCTTCTTTGATCTTCTGGTTGATCCACGCATTCTTAAGCAAGGTGGTCTTTAGTTCTAGGTGTTTGAGTTCCTTCCAAACTTTTCCTTGTGATTGAGCTCCAGCTTCAAAGCATTGTGATCTGAGAATATGCAGGGAATAATCTCAGTCTTTTGGTATCGGTTGAGTCTTGATTTGTGACCCAGTATGTGGTCTATTCTGAAGAAGGTTCCATGTGCACTTGAGAAGAATGAGTATTCTGTTGTTTTAGGGTGGAATGTCCTATATATATCTATGAGGTCCATCTTGTCCAATGTGTCATTCAATGATCTTGTTTCTTTATTGATTTTCTGCTTCGATGATCTGTCTATTTCTGAGAGAGGCGTGTTAAGATCTCCTACTATTAATGTATTCATATCAATATGACTCTTCATCTTGATTATTAGTTTTCTTATGTAATTGGCTGCTCCCATATTGGGGGCATAGATATTTACAATTGTTAGATCATCTTGGTGGATAGTTCCTTTAAGAATTATGTAGTGTCCTTCTGTATCTCTGACTACAGTCTTTAGTTTAAAATCTAATTTATCTGTTATGAGAATCGCTACCCCCTCCTCCTTTTGAGGTCCATTGGCATGAAAGATGCTTCTCCATCCCTTCACTTTCAGTCTGCGTGTATCATTAGGTTTGAAATGGATCTCTTGTAGACAACATATGGATGGGTCCTGTCATTTTATCAATCTGCAACCCTGTGTCATTTTATGGGTGCATTTAGGCCATTCACATTAAGAGTGATTATTGATAGATACATTTTTATTGACATCGTGTTACCTTTGAAGTCTTTCTTTCTGTAGATTGTCTCTATATTTCTGTTCAATGATATTCTTAGGATTTTTCCTCTTTTATAGAACCCCCATTAATATTTTCTGCAGTTTCGGCTTCGTGGTCACATACTCTTTAAGCCTTGCCGGTCTTGGAAACTCTTTATCTCTCCATCCCTTTTGAATGTCAGTCTTGCTGGATAAAGTATTCTTGGCTGCATGTTCTTCTTATTTAGTGCCCTGTATATATCTTGCCAGCCCTTTCTGGCTTGACAGGTTTCTGTAGATAGGTCTGACATTATTCTGATGGACTTTCCTCTGTATGTAAGGAGCTTCTTTGTCCTAGCTGTCTTCAAGAGAGCCTGTCTACAGTTATAATTCCTCATTCTTACTATCAGGTGTCTCAAGGATTTTTGAGAATCTATAATCTTGGGGGGAGACCGTCCTGCCTCTAGTACATGAACGCTGGTTCCATTCGTGAGATTGGGAAAATTTTCATGGAGAACTTGTTCCACTATATCTTCTAGACTTCTTTCTTTCTCCTCCCCTTCAGGGATTCCAATAAATCTGATGTTAGAACATTTCATGGCATCATTTATTTCCCTAATTCTGTTTTTGTGGCTTTTAAGCTGTTTGTTCCAGGCTTCCTCCTGATCCTTTTTCTCTATCTATTTGTCCTCCAGATCACTAATTCTATATCTGTCTCAATTACCCTAGCTTTTAGAGAATTTAGATTAGATTTGAACTCATTGAGAACATTGTGAACATCATCCCTGGTGGCTTTCAGTTCTGCCCTAATCAATTCTGTTTTGTCATCCATGGCTTTCTCCAACCTAGCTATTGCCTGGATAATTGTTAGCCTGAATTCTCTTTCAGACATATTGTCTATGTCGACGGCCATTAGCTCTGTTGCAGAAGGCCCATCCTCTGAATTTTTCTTTTGTTCGGCATTCCTCCTCCTGGTCATTTTGGTGAGAGATGGCTGAACAGATGTAGCTGGATGTATCTACCATGGTGCAGTCAAGGTGCACCCTGGAAGCTTCTGAGCAATCAAGAGTCCCCACCCAAATGAAAGAAAAAAGAAAGAGAGAAAAAAGAAAAAAAAAGAGATAGAGAGAGAGAGAGAGAGGAAATAAAGAAAGACAAAAGAGAAGGCTCAGCACAAATGGGCCCCAAGGTAAGATTTATGAAATATACAAACAAAAACAGACAAACAAAAAGGCTGATAAAAGTATATGACAAGAGAAAAAAAATATATATATATATAAAAGCAAAAAAAAAAAAAAAAGAACCTCATCAAAAAGAACCCCAAGTATAAGATTTAAAAATATGGAATGTGTTTTTCACAAATTTGCATGTCATCCTTGTGCAGGGGCCATGCTAATCTTCCCTGTATTGTTCCAATTTTAGTATATGTGCTGCCAAAGCGAGCACCATCTACTACTTTTTAAAAATATGAAGAAAGTCCAGGGTACAAAAAGATAAATTATGAGCTAGTTTCAATTTTCTAATCTTTTATTATATTAATTACATGTTTCTACCGAATGGAGTACATTCGACACCATCATTCACTCTGTGCATACATGAAATAAGTCAAGCAGAGATAGTCAATTGCCATATGGTTTCACTTACTTGTGGAGCATAAGGAATAACACAAAGGACATTGGGAGATGGAGAGGAGAAGTGAGTTGGGAGATATCGGAGTGGGAGACAAAACATGAGAAACTATGGACTCTGAGAAACAAAGAGAATTTTGGAGGGGGGAAGGATGGGAGGTTGGGTAAGCCTGGTAGTGGGTATTATGGAGGGCACGTATTACATGGAGCACTGGGTGTGATGCATAAACAATGAATGCTGGAACACTGAAAAGAAATAAAATAAAATAAAATGAAAAAAAGATATATATTTTTTTCTTAATTTTATCTTATTTTAAACATTCTTTCTGCTTCAGAGAAATAGAATGGTGAGACATGTTAGCACAGAGTTGCAGTTATGGCTTTTATTGATATTTTTTAAAATTATATCGATATATTAAACACTATCCTTTGATGCACATATTTTGATTCTTACAGAGAAAATACTCTAAGATATGATTTGTGAAAATCACACCAGAGTCACCGAATTTATTCTTCTTGGTTTTACAAATAACCTTGAGATGCAAGTTTCCCTCTTTATTTTGTTCATCGTCATCTATACAGTTACTTTGTTGGGCAACTTCCTTATCATCACAGTCACCAGTGTCGATCCTGCTCTTCAAACACCCATGTACTTCTTTCTCCGAAATCTGTCACTTCTTGAAGTCTGTTTCACCTTGGTCATGGTGCCAAAGATGCTGGTGGATCTAGTGTCTCCAAGGAAAATAATCTCTTTTGTAGGCTGTGGGATCCAGATGTACTTTTTCTTCTTCTTTGGTAGCTCTGAATGTTTTCTCCTGTCTATGATGGCATATGATCGCTTTGTGGCCATTGGTAACCCTCTCCGTTATTCAGTCATAATGAATAGGTCCCTATGCTCATGGATGGCTCTTGGCTCTTGGATGTCTGGTATTCCTGTCTCTATGCTACAGACAGCTTGGTTGATGGCCCTTCCTTTCTGTGGACCAAATACTATAGATCACTTTTTTTGTGATGGTCCTCCAGTGCTGAAACTAGTCACTCAGGATACAACCATGTATGAAATGCAAGCACTTGCTTCCACGCTACTATTTATCATGTTTCCCTTTTCCCTCATTTTGGTCTCCTATACCCGCATTATCATCACTATCCTGAGGATGTCCTCTGCTACCGGTCGCCAGAAGGCATTCTCTACTTGTTCATCACACCTCATTGTGGTATCTCTTTTCTATGGAACAGCCAGCTTGACCTACCTAAGGCCCAAATCCAACCAGTCCCCTGAGAGCAAGAAGCTAGTGTCATTGTCCTACACTGTCATCACTCCTATGTTAAACCCCATTATCTACAGCCTCAGGAACAATGAAGTGAAGGGGGCAGTCAAGAGGACATTTACTCGAAAAGTCTTGCAGAAGTTAGATGTGTTTTGAGTTCCATTGCTTAGTGTTTCTAAACAAAGAAGAGACAGCAGAACCCACAGACAAAAGCTTAAAAGGAGTACAAGATTAGCTCTGATTTTGTCAGTGTCACTTGCTGTGATAGATGGGTCTCAGTGTATCAGTCAGACTCCCAGAAAGAGACAGATGGTACTCTTGGGATAATTGAGAGAATATTTATGAGGGCTCTGTTTGTGAATTGGGGGGCAAGACTAGATAATTGTCATACAACTCATATGATGGAAAATCCACAAGTCTTGATCTGAAGGGGTAAGGAGAAGAAGTATTGCCTGGAACCTGGAGGATGCTACAACTATATGTAAAGCCACACAACTGGAGCCCTGTTCTTTAGAGGAAAAAGGCAGCCATCCTGGTCTTATGCTATTCTGAATCTCTCAAATCTGCAGATGGCTGTTCTTCATCAAACCAAATCTGAGACAGAGGACAAGAATTTCTGCCAATGCAGTATATAAAGGCCAGCCTTGTGGGGCACAGATCAGAATAAAAAAGTTATGAAGCATAAATGAAAATATTTACCAGAGACCCCTATATATTCTGCAAATAATATGATGCAAGTATAATCTTGTAATGTGCTCTAGGTAACTTTTAAAAAGATGTATCGAAAAGTGGGGACTTGTAGTTGCCAAGAATTCACGGTGCAAATTCTTTACATAGGTTGCTGCTTTAAATGAGGTTACATAATAAGATTGCCTTCATATGAATATTTCATAATATGGTTCTGGACCTCTTTGATCATTGACTTAATCATCTATTAATTTTTATTTTATTTTTTAAAGATTATTTATTTGAGAGAGTGAAAGAGGGGAAGGAGTAAGGAAAGAGAATCTCAAGCAGACTCCATGCTGAGTGCAAAGCCTAACAGGGGGCTCAGTATCATGATCCTGAAATCATGACCTGAACCAAAAACCAAGACTTCCACACTCAACTGACTGAGCCATCCAGGGTTGCTTATTAATTTTTATTAATTAGCTGTTGCTTACAATTTAAACAAGAAATACTTGCTTTCCACTATAGTAAAAGCAAGAATAGTGATAATAATAGCCAACATGATTTATCAAAGCATTAATAAATGTCCTCATGGGGTGTCCAGGTGGCTCAGTCAGTTGAACATCTGCCTTCGGTTCAGTTCATGATCCCAGGGTCTTTGGATCGTGTCCTGCATTGGGCTCCCTGCTCAGTGGGGAGACTGCTTCTCACTACCCTTCTGCCCTCCCCATGCTCATGCTCTTTCTCTCTCTCTCAAATAATTAAATAAAATCCTAAAAATCCTTAAATAAAATCCTAAAAAAAAAGTCCTCACAACAACCCAATAGGTAGATCCTATTATACATTTATTTTTCATAAAAGATGAATTAGGATCAGAAAATTTAAGAATCTTGACAAGGTAGGGTTATTGAGAGGTAGTCACAGGAATTCAAATTCAGACCCTTCTACATTTGAAATTCAATATGTTAATTTTTTAAAAAATCTCTAGGACATTTTCGTCCTGATAAAGCACCACTTATACATGGGAATATTGTCTGTAAGGCCATAAATGCCTTAAATCACCTAAGAAGACAAAATGAAATTGAGTCAAATGTAATTTTGGAAAATTTCATATTTCCACTCTCATAAAGATATATATTGAATATCCAATTTATACCAATAGTATCTATTGTTCTAAGTCTTCATTAGTCAACATTTTTCTTAATTGTATAGATTTTTCTTTTTTTTTTTTTTTAAAGATTTTTATTTATTTATTTGACAGACAGAGATCACAATAGGCAGAGAGGCAGGCAGAGAGAGAGGAGGAAGCAGGTTCCCTGATGAGCAGAGAGCCCGATGCGGGGCTCGATCCCAGGAGCCTGGGATCATGACCTGAGCCGAAGGCAGAGGCTTTAAACCACTGAGCCACCCAGGCGCCCCTGTATAGATTTTTCTTTAAGCAGCAACTAACCTCTATCATTCTTGGTCAATATCCCAGAGAAATTTAAAATCATCACAAATTTGCAATTTGTGATGTTTATTTTAATTTAATTGTTATTTCCTAAAGTTTATATCCATTGAGCATAATGGGAGTTTGGGGTAGGAAATATCAGTGCCTTTAAATCTTTCTCCTTCAATGGTCTTTTAATTGTTAAAGCTTAACTCACATATTCCAAATTAATGTTGCTAAATTCAGTGACCATCTGATAAGACTATTGCAATGGTTTTCTTTTCTTTCCTTTTCTTTTCTTTTTAAAATAGATCTATTTATTTATTTGAAAGAGAAAGCACAGCGGGAGGGATAGAAGGAGAGTGAGAAAATCTCAAGTAGATTTCCCACTGAAGGTGGAGCCTGACATGGGGCTCAATCCCCTGACCCTAAAATCATGACCTGAGCAGAAATCAAGAGTCAGATGCTTGACTGACTGAGTCAGTCAGGTGTCCCTGGTTTTTCACTATTTGAATGTGACTCATGAGTAGATTGTGAGGTCGTAAAATCAGTTTAGTAGTGAATGTGTATGTGTTTAATAAGCTAGCGTAATAAAATCAAGAATAGAATAACAGTAATTTATGAAAAGAGTTTATGGAAACACCTGATACATAATAAACCCTCTCTGAGTGTTTGATAGTATTACTGTTAGAATAACATAAAATATAGATTAGACCCCATATATGAAAGGGTATGCTTTAGTTATGCATTTTTATGTTTAGAGTGAAATGTAAAATTAGTTTCCTTCTGTAAGATGCAAGAAAAATTTTCATAAGGTATTCACTTATTTCATATCTTGTCTGACTTAAAATCCATGGCTTCTTTGGGTAATTTATAATATAATTATTATGTTTCATATAATTTTCATATAGCTTTTTAGTATAGTTATACATATATATTTCATATAGTTTTATAAATTTAATGTAAGTATAAATAAATTTATACATTTATAAATAAATGTATAAATTTAGTGTAAGCTTGTCATCCTCAATTTACAAATTTACATATAGTTTTATAAATTTAATGTAAGTATAAATAAATTTATAAATTTAAGTCACAGAGCCACAAACTCCTTGAAGAGGCTTTTTTTCCAAGCTTGTCATCCTCAATTTACAAATTGATTTCTTCTTTAGAGTTCCAAAAGCTAATTAATAGTCATTATTATATCTGAAGAGATGATTAAAAGGACTTATTTGATGAGTTGTTCACCCCCAAAATGCTAAAATTGGTATCACTAACAATTCCAGAGTTTTCTTTGGACAAATATTTTCATCACTTTTTTTTTTATGGTGATACAATTGTCTTTTTTAGTTGTATGAAAAAAAGGAATTTTTCTTAAGTTTACAATTCCATAGATTTCTTCCATATATATGCCCCTATATTGTTATTTAGAAGACTTTCTGGAAATATTTC